AGAAAATTAAATTCATAAATCATGAGTTCTTAAGAGAATTCTGTATTTGTTAAATTAATTGGTATACATTACAACAAAAGTCATAGTTTTTTTAGAAAAGAATTATTTTCTTTTTTCCACTCTTTTTTTCTCATGAGCCAAACAAGTGGCAAATGACAGAATTTATGTTGCCAATTACTCTATTACCTTATCAATACAGTGGCAACGGAGGACCACTTCTATTCGTTAAAGGAATTGTACGGGAAAAGCCTCCAGTGAAGAACTCAGAATTATCGATGTCGCGATTATTGACGGCTTGAACCCTGTGAATCTGATATCTATAATCAAATTACAGAGGACAAATCATTGATTAGTTGGCAAGAAAATGAAAAGGGAAATTTTAAATTTTGGTTTCACAATTCTTGTTTAGTTGAACCCAAATATATATCCATCATAATTTTCACTATCTTTGCTTTTCTTTGGTTTTCTTGGAAACCAAACAAATCATCAACTAACTTGAATAAAATAATAATGATAGTAAATTTACCCCCCTTGAACTGTGGTAATGGCTTGTGCAATGTGAGGACGAGTGAAGCCCTGAATTGGTTGTGGATGTCCAAGTTTAAAGAAAGGATAGAAGTAATCGATGACGCATATTGCATTCAAGGATCGCATGCTCCATTCCAGAGCATTCGTATCCGAAGGTTCATTATCCTAATCCGAAGTAGATTCGTGACAAGTCTTCGTCTTTCCTATTCAACATCATCCAATCACATACTAAACCTAACATTATATATATATATATATATATATATAGAGAGAGAGAGAGAGAGAGAGATCCACAATGAATTCGGTGACAAAGAATTTCTTGCGCCTTATCTTCCAAGCAAGCCTAAGACAGCAAATCGTAAAAAGTTTTATGTTCTTGTTCGGATTTCCCTCTATCGGCTAAATCAAGAATTGAAATCAAATCCAATATGCAATAAAAAACACATTAAATCAAATCAAATTACTCAAAGTGGACAGATTTTACTGATATATTTGAATTCCTCGACAAGAATCGATCGACGTAATTCACAGCAAGGTAGGGCAATAAAATTAGATCGATAGATCTAGAGAGAGAAATAAATGGGTGTGGGGTTGAGGGATTTTAAACATTATAAAATAATATTGTAAATTTCTTACATTATTAAAAATGAAAAATGGACCTTAGACTAGGGTTGAGGGATTTTAAACATTATAAAATAATATTGTAAATTTCTTACATTATTAAAAATGAAAAATGGACCTTAGACTAGTTTTTCTTATAAATTATTAGGAGAATAACATTTCAGCATAAAAGACTAAAAGTATTTATAAATTGGTTATAATAAAATAAAAATTTGTACTCCAAAGCTTCTTCCTGAATTATTGGTAAAAGGTATTATTGCCCTAAGCAACAATGATTCATCCCACTAAAAGTATCACCACTAATAGCACTAATGCATTAAAAAAGTAAAAAAAAAAAAATAACTCCAAGACCAAAACATCATATCATTAATGACGGGACCCACTGCCACCTAATTAGTGGGAGCACTAATTAGTGCTCCCAAGAGTATATTATTTACATAAAAAAATAAGATTAATCGGACGTGTGTAACTCCATAATCAAACTATAATTATTTTAAAAAAAGTATCAAAATTACGTTAATCATTTATTTTTAAAAAATATAAATGTAGTCTTATTACAGGTTATAAATGTCTAATTGACTTAATTTTTTTCATCAATAATTTACTCAATAGATCTTGCAACCCCCCCCTAAGAGGATGGTGCTGTCGCAACACTCTGTTGTGACTATAAGGTTGTGGTTTGTATTGATTTTATTTTGATAATTTAAATAGTTTATATTATAGAATTCATTGAGTATATTATTTACATAAAAAAATAAGATTAATCGGACGTGTGTAACTCCATAATCAAACTATAATTATTTTAAAAAAAGTATCAAAATTATGTTAATCATTTATTTTTAAAAAATATAAATGTAGTCTTATTACAGGTTATAAATGTCTAATTGACTTAATTTTTTTAATCAATAATTTACTCAATAGATCTTACAATATATCCCCCGGCGGGGCAATCTCACAACGTGGTGCTGTGCCTCCTAGGCTTTGTATTTTATACCAATATTCTATCAACAAAATTAATCAAAAACTAATTATAAAAAAAATAATTTTAATCATTCCCATCAAATAATGGGAATTGTCATTGAAAATTTATTTCACCCACCTTGTCCAATTATATTTTTTGTTATCCGCCACATGAGTACATAAAATTATTAATCTTATATATGATGGTCAAAAAGTAATCATAACCATAGAGTTATTTTAGAAAATTAATTAAAAATTAGTTTTTTATTTTTTTTAAAAAACGTGTAAAAAAAAGTAGAGAGGTAAAATGGTACAAAGTCTCACAAAAACTCAATTTCAATTATAATAATCAATTTTATATAGATTCTATTTGATAAATACTTATTTTCTATATATTTTTTATCGTGTATTTAGTTTTGTCGTTATCAGATTTTCTTCTATATAGTTGATATTTTAATTTAATTATTATGATATTTGAAAAAAATATCTTGACATACAAATAAATAAATAAGATAGAATATGCTTAATTATGTACATCGCACGAATCAAATTAATTTTATTTTTTATTTTTTGTCTATCTTATTGAAGTCTTAATATTAATTTATATTTAATTTTTTATTTAACATGAAATTATTTATTAAAAAATATTTATATTTAATTAAATTTTATATACCTATATATAATATATATGAATAATTCAAAAAGAATATTAAAGAAAAAAATCAACACTTTACATATTTAATTTATGTATTTTCTTCTTAATCCAATTACAACATATTTATATTTAATCTTTTAAATAAATTTTGTGTAGTTTTATTTTTTTATATTTTTATTTTCCAAATAAATATAAAAATAAAAATAAAATTAAATAATTAGAATCACTTTTAGTTTTATATTACTAATTGTCTTTGTAATTTAACTATTATTTTTAATATCAAAATGAGTGTTTATTTTACTATCTTATAATTTAATATATATCATAGAAAATCATTATATGATAATTACGCTTTTATAGCACAATAGAACTAATATTATTAAAATAAACAAATAATTTAACTAAATTTATTATATTATATATAAATATTCAATTAACACTTTTATAAGTCAATAATGTTAAGATTATCAAAATAAATAATTTAAATTTAAATTTTATTTTAAATTAAAATTAATATTATTCTTTCGTAACACATATTATAATATAAAATATCATTACATTAATTAAAATTAATTCCATTGTGATTTTATGTCAGACATCATATTTTTAGAAGTGATTTACATATACGTATAGTGTCCAATGTGATATTGATAGATTAAAATAATGGAACTCAATTTTTTGTTAAGTTTTTATATGATAAATTGACAAAAGTCAAATGATACATAGTGTGAAATATTATTTTAAAAAATAATGATTCATCAAAAATGATTGTGTACATGTAAGACACCCTATTAATGTTTCTTAAAGAAGTTTTAAATAAAAATTTTGAATCTATAGTAATACTGACAATATACCTTCATGAGCTTTGGTAGAAAAGATATACAAAAATAATTTAGCTGAAATAAAAATTTTGCGGTTATTATTATGTATCATGTAATTAATTGGAGCCCCTTTGAGAACTAAAATTATTAAAGATATAGAGATTTTGTGCATGATTCCCTTTGAGCACATTTTTTATGATTTCAATTTGTAATTTTTATGTTACGGATCCCAAATATTCTATCAAACCTCTCACACGAGTATAGGACTCACACACATGTGGATTTGTGTGAGTCTCTCCCCCCGTAAAAGATTTGGTAGAATATTTGATAGAATATTTGGGGTACATAACATTTCTCTAACTTTGAAAACCTTATTGATATAAGTATAAATCTTATTTTTGAATCAACTCACTTTAAACACTTTTTTCGTATAATAAAATACTTAAATATTGTCATATAAAAGTACTATAATAGATCATAATCAAATATTACTTGAAGTATGATTAAATACTCAGTGCACCGCTTTAGACATAACAAAAAATATAAGAAATTAGTAAAGACCTTTTCAATTAATAATCAAAATAATACACCTTGAGTTATAATTAAGTCATAATTTGTATATTATAGAATTTTTTGTTATTTTTATTTTTTTTCAATTTTTTTATCCAGTGAAATTCATGATTTTTGATAGCTAAATTACAAACACATTTCCTGATATTTATTTAAATTACAAATTATCCCCTGTGATTCTAGAAATTACATTACGCCCATAAGGTTTCTAATTTCATAATAAATAGGTTATTTTATTAATAAATCATCAACTTAATTAACAGTTTTCAATAATGTTAAAATTTTATTTAAATTAATAATTCAGATAATTTTATTATTATATAAGTAAATAGTTAGAAATTTCACTTTTTTAATTAATTTTGTTAAATAAAAAATTCTGACAGGTAGACATTTGTAATTTTTCAAATCACATGAGACAATTTGTATTTTAAGCAAATATCAGGAGTTTATTTGTAATTTATCCTAAATTTAATTAACAAAATGAGAATTTGATTTCAGGCTGAGAATACATCTTCTTTTTTTAAAAAAAAAATTTGAAAAAAATTATTTTTGTGAGTATATTTTACATCAGTTATTACCAAATCTATTTGTATTTGACTTTTAATTGTTCAAATTTTCTATGCAAAATATTAAGACACAAAATTAAAATTTTATTTCAAAAACAAATTCCTGTGCAATACACGGTTCATCTACTAGTTTTAATTAAAAAGTTAATATACTCTATCTTTTTTTTACACATTTTTATAAAAAAAATTCAAAAAAAAAAAAAATTTCAATTCCCAAACCAATCTAGAAAACAGTTGATGAAATTGATGCAAGTACTAAAGGGGTCAAAAATCAATTAAGAGGGATGTTAGGGTTTCCACATTGCAACTGTCTATATTAAAACTTGTTTGTAGTCTCTCAAGAGCTTGTTTCTTTCCCAAACTTTGAGGCTGCTAAAAAATTTTTATCGCAAGGAGCAGAACGCTCCCCTTCTTATTAGCTCCACCAGCCTCCGCCGCCGCAGAAGCAAAACCCAGAATCAGGAAAACCCTCTGAACAATCAGAAAAAGAGATGGGTGATAATGAAAAAACAGGGGAAGGAGAGAAGCAGGGAAGCAAAACAGTAATGTCATCTGATCTTAACGATTTCACAATAATCAAGGAAGGAGAGGCTGAGATTCTCATGCACGCCAAAAACGAAGTCTTTTACAACAAAACCCAGGTCAAAATAGCGTTTCTTTTTCAATAATGTTTTTTTGGTGGTTTATTTTGGTTTCTCTCTTGATTTATATAATGTACTGAATTGTGTCCAAGTCTGATTTTTTTGTAATTTTGTTTGACTTACTGAACTGAATTTTTTATGGGCTAAGCTGTTTGTTGTGATTGCTGAATTAGGACCCAATTCATAATTTTTGTGTGGTTGTGATTGTAAAGTTGGGTTTTTGAAAATTGGTGGGTTATGTGAACTTGTTACAAAGGTCTCCTTTGTATTTTGTTGGCTAAACTACAGAACAATGTCATTACAGCAACTTTCTAGGCGATGACAGAATGTTTTGTTCAATTTAGTTAGATATATTATCATGATCCATTCTAGTTCTTGAGTGAGGATTCTTTTGGGAAAATGGGTTATGTAATGACTTCTTTTCTCATCCCGTGATTGAAACGGAGTGTACATTTCTGGTTCTTTGATGCTAGTCGTTTTCCTTTTGGGTATATTGGAGGGGAAATGTTACTTATCGAAAGAATGACATTGAAGCCAATGAGCAACCTCTTGAAGCTACCTTTAGCTAATTGAGCCAATGAGCCAACCTCTTGAACGCCTATTATTGCCAAGAAGATCATGTTCATAGTTAACTTTTTGAGTAAGTTTTACCAAACTTATGTGGCGCTAAAATTTGTCTGTATATCACTTTTTTTGGGCTAATATAGACTATTGTTTTTTAAAAGAAAAACCTTGGTGTTTGTTTTTCCATAAACAACCCTTCACCGAAGAATTAAGAAAATTATCTTTCAAATTGTTGTTGTATTGCGCCCTTTTTTTTACGAACTATTTCCATTATGGAGTGAGAGACAGCCTTGCTTACTCAATTCTATTAAGGAGGACTTAAATTTGTTTGCCCTAATTGACAGATTGAGAATGGGTCTTGATGTTCTAGTCTGTTGTGTTTTACCTTTGACTTATGGACTAGAGGCTGCTTTATGTGATAAAATAATCTGATGGACAAACAATTACACAGAAACCAGGTTAGAAACAAGATTACATATAATCGCGATCCAGATCACAATAAATGATCCTACCTGATCCAGCCAAGTTCTTACCCGTGCAATCCATAGCGCAATCCGGATCTGGATCTATTTAGCAAAGTTAGATTGTAGGATCATACGATCATATGATCCAGATCGCGATTTTAACATTCCTTTTGTTTGGGGCTTTCGAAAGGGTGCAGTTGTTGAAATGCTACCTAATTTGCTTGGTTACACCTCTGCATAGCTTAAGGGATCACATTCATTTGTCGCTTTTGTATTTTGATCATTTGTCCATCAGTCACATTTGTCGTACTCTATCCCCTTGAGGGGAACTATTCTGCTTCCACCGTCTCTCCTAATATTTGTTCCCTAGTTTGGTTTGCGGCATGACATTTATGTTGCACTTTTGGATAACTCATTTTCCATGTGTAAAACAGATCATACATATTATTTTCTCAAATTGATACTTACCGAAACAATATATCTTAAATTGATCTTCGTGTTGGAGATCTTCTGTGGAATAGTTTATTCTCGAGTTTGCTACCATAATTTAGTTGGAGTAATACCTGACCTAGCTGGTAACTTTGTTGTTCTCTAGCGGAGTAAGAGGAATCTGACCTTGCAACTTTACTATAAACAGGTGAACAACAGGGACATATCCATTGCTGTTCTGAGGACATTTATATCCAAACGGAAAGAGGAGCATGAAACAAAGCTGTCCAGAAGAACAAAAACAGCACAAAAGGTATCAGGTGAGAATGTGTCTGAACTGAAAGCACCTACTGAGTCAGATGTGCACAATGAGAAATCTAATGGTGAATGTGAAGAGTCAGAAGAGATATCTCCAGATGAACCTTGTAGTATCTCAGAAAAACCAGTCAAAACTCCAGAGGGGAAAGTACAAGGGGAACTAAAGCCACCAAGAGTGCTTGAGGTTTTATTCCACAATCTTCTAATATTATGAGTTTTTTATTTAAATCATATTCAGAAATTTTCAGCTCATACAGTATTTTAATCCTTATTATATGATTTTCACTATTTTCCTTGTGTCCTAATAGGCATTGTCGGCTTCGGGCTTAAGAGCATTAAGATATGCACGTGAAGTAGAAGGGATAGGTCAAGTTGTGGCTGTGGACAATGATAAAGGTATTTCATGTTATTAATATAATCCATGACTATGTTCTCTGATGCCAAATCATTCAGGAACTCCTTTTTTACTTTGACATGGAAATGACACCCTCAAGCATGCTCAAGCACATATGAGTTGTAACTATATGAGGATGCTATTTCAAATGTATACAAATTTTGGTATTCTTTCCTACTTATATATGTTTACAGATAGAATTACCAGGTTTTCACTAGTTGTTTAACATTACAAAAGTTGCATCTTACTTGCATCATATTTGAATCTATTGATGAGAGGAATACATTCCTTTTTTGCAGCATCTGTTGAAGCATGCAGGAGAAACATAAAATTCAATGGTTCAGTGGCATGTGCCAAGGTGGAGTCGCACCTTGCTGACGCTCGAGTTTATATGCTCACCCATCCAAAGGAGTTTGATGTGGTATGTCGTATATATCTTATCTTATATGCATTCTTTTAATACATGTATGAAAATTTACTTGTAGTGATAGTTTCTCAAGATAAGCATTTCTTTTCTTTCAATTTCATTTGAAAACTGAATGACAGAATTTTTTGTGCTGTGTGAGCAAGAATTGGCACTTCATTTGGATGGTGGGGTAATAAAAGAAAAGAACTGATTGTGTTTTCTCACTATATGTTTGGATGAGTAAGAAAGCAAAGTATGTGATATAGGGATATAGATGGGATTTCTTTTTCTTCCTTCGGATTTTAATAGGCAATCTTGGTATTATAAAAAATACACAACCAATCAGCTTGTTTCTCACCAAATCTCACCACTTTTGGTGAGAAATGAAACCTATATAATAAGAGAGGTCTCTTTCTCTCCGTTTATCACTATTTCTCATAATTTCTCACCTACCTTATAAACCATACCCAAGAAAAGAGTTCTCTTTCTCTTCTTTTCTTATCATTTCTCACCAAATCACTCAATCCAAATGGAAACTGGTTTCAGTTTGCTGACCACCCTGGAGTATTGGATATCACTTTCCTGTTGTTTTGACTTTGAAAGAGAGACTTTTGAGGGCATGTTTGCTTATACGGTTACAATGAGCCAGACAACATTCATACTTCTACTGCTTCTTGGTGTTTCAGGTTGATCTTGATCCTTATGGTTCACCTTCCGTGTTCTTGGACTCTACCATTCAGTCAGTTGTTGACGGAGGTATGTTGATGTGCACAGCAACTGATATGGCAGTGTTGTGTGGGGGTAATGGGGAGGTTTGCTATTCCAAGTAAGGTTTCTGCTCCCTCTCTCGTTTAGAACCAACAGCTTTTAATTACCGGGCTTATCTAATGCTGCTTGTGGAATTAGATACGGCTCTTATCCATTGAGAGGGAAATATTGTCATGAAATGGCGTTGAGGATCCTCCTTGCCTGCATTGAGGTACTTCTATTTTCATGATGAAGCCAGTATATTTGACATTTGAAATAGAAATATAATTCTTGACATTTTTTTTTTTTGAGGAGGATGAGATCAGAAGAAAGCAACAAAGTTATCTTGGTGATCTTGCCTCTTTATTTTTTATACTATTATCAAATTTGGGAACTTTATAGGTGTTGAGTGTTCAAATCTGTTTTTATCTCCTTTCGGCTCGTCTAATGTACGGGTGGATGATATTATAGTGGCACATAAACTAATTAAACTGTGAGAAGCACCCTTGAAACGTCTGCTTCTTGTGGCAGGTTCCTAGTCATCTCATGTACCCATTGGACTTGCAAAGCATTGTTTGTTATATAAGACTTGTTGCCCATCTTTTGCTTATAATTCAGTGGTAAGTTTTTAAATTTTTTTCCCTTTTCTTTCCTAAATGCAGAGCCATGCAAATCGATACAAGCGATACATTGTTCCGGTGCTATCAGTTCAGATGGACTTTTATGTTCGAGTTTTTGTTCGCGTATTTACGTGAGTTTACTATATTCTTGATTTTTCTTCAAATTAGCTAGTAGGGTTAACATTGCATCATTACTACAATTGGAGTGTCGTTTCACTTCATGTTGTTATCCAGTCTCAGCCCTTGCTTAGTTATGTTTGACTGAAATATGAATTATTGGTTGCAGCTCTGCAAGTGCAATGAAGAACACTCCCCTTAAGCTCTCTTATGTTTATCAGTGCACTGGTTGTGATTCTTTTCATCTTCAGTCACTTGGAAGGACTGTTTCAAAGGTATGTATCTATTTGGTATTCATGTAATATATAGCTTTTAAGACATTAGTTTATCTGATATGACCAATTAGAAACGAAAGTTTTTCCTTTTTTATGTTGAAGGTACTATTATTTTTACTACATTGGTATTCTGAACGGTATCTACCTGTATATATTTATGACACTACTCACTTAGTGTGCAGAATTTGTTTTCCATATTTATTTTGTGCTTAATTGTAACAATATTTTGATGTTCTCGTTTTATCTCTCTTTTTGTTTCTTTTTTATGCTTCCCTTCTCTCAAGAATAACAGCGTAAGGTATCTACCTGGGTTTGGTCCCGTTGTTTCTGAAGAGTGCAGCGATTGTGGAAAGAAATATAACATGGGCGGGCCCATATGGTCTGCTCCCATTCATGATCAAGAATGGGTAACTTCCATACTTGCAGATGTGAAATCAATGAAGGATCATTATCCCGCTTACGATCGAATCTCTGCTGTACTAACAACAATTTCAGAGGTTTGTTATTATTTTACCTCTAAGCTAATCAATTATCTGTAGTTAGTATAAAGAAAATAAAAATTTACGGCTGAAACATATTTTCATTTTCATTGATTTCGTGAAAATGTAGTCGTTGCCAATACCTTTTAACACCTATTCCAATGATCTATTATTGTTTGCAGGAATTGCCTGATGTTCCTCTGTTTCTTAGTTTGCACAATCTTTGTGCAACACTAAAATGCACGTCTCCCTCGGCAGCAATATTCCGATCTGCAGTCATCAATGCAGGATATCGTATATCGGGAACTCATGTGAATCCTTTGGGGCTAAAGTCGGATGCTCCGATGGATGTTATTTGGGATATCATGCGTTGTTGGGTAAGTATTACTTTGTGTGTTTTCATGTGCATGCATGCATAGCAAACTTCATTAATTCCTGCATTTTCATTGTTGTTTTTATGAGATTTGTGTGTTTATATTTTCAAATCAAATCAAGAACTTCAAATGGCCACACAATCATGTTGGTTTTGTCATCTTGATTTCTGTTAGAAGAGTGTGTAATGTTTGCAAGCTAATTTCACCAGCCTTTCAGTGATTTTCTGTGTCTGAACACTTGGTGGTTTGTTGAATTGTCCGGATGTAACGTTTGGCTTATCATGAATTTATCTCTCGTGTGTAGGTTAAAAATCATCCTGTGAAAGCTCAACCACCAGATCAGGCAGGAAGCGTTATACTTGCCAAGCAACCAGTTCTTCAAGTGCGTTCCAATTTCTTTCCCCTCTCTCTCTCTCTCTCTCTCTCTCTTCGGCATTTTTGTCCTCGTTTTCCAGGTCATCTGAGGTCAAATCCACACAACACTGGCACAAGCACACAGGCACACGCACACACATGTACATCAAGGAAAACCTCACTCTGTTTGTTTCTAGTTTTCAAAATTCACTTTTTAAATTTTTTTTTTTTTTGTTTTCTGTATTTTTTTTTTGTTTTCATTGAATTTTTTTAATATTTTGAGTAATTTTTTTAATTTTTAGGCACGCCTAACATAAATACACTTAAAAAGTATAATATTTGTGAAAAAAATCTTTAAAAAATTCACCAAATACCAAAAAAAAAAAAAAAAAACTAAAATTCAGTACATTTTTTGTATTTTTATGTATTTATTAATTTTTTTAAATATTTTTTTACAAATAATTTACTATTTAGATACATCTAAGTAAGATACATCTAAAAAAGTAAAAAAATTGCTTAAAATTTAAAAAATATTCACTAAAAACAAAAAAAATGAAAAATAAAAAACTTTATTTTTAGAAAATTGAATTAAAAAAATTGAAACCAAACATACTGAATTATTTTCTCTTTTTATTGGTGTTGGTGTGAGCTTTTAGGCTTTGTTTGCTTAGAAAGAGAAAATATGGGAAGTGAAAGTGGTAGGAAAATATATTTACTTGCAAGCATCTAATTATGATGAAAACTTTTGCAAGAAAAAGAGAGCTTAAGTAACCTCTTCCATGGACAAATTTAAATTTTCTTGTGTTTTTTGCAAGAATTTTATAATTTAGTTGCCATATTAATATGGGTTGTGCAAAATCAAAAAAAACAAATTCAAACAAAATATCACATCAAACCTCATAATTATTTCACTTTTTCTCTCACAAACATCACATCCAACCACAAAAAAAATCTAACTATCTTTCCAAACACAAAAAAAAATTCTCCAATAATATCCTACAACTAAAAAAATCTACAAAAAAAATCCACTTCTCAAACACCCACAAAGACTAGTTGGATCTTTCAGAGATTTTTTAGCTTCAAAGTACTCAATAGTTCTATCGCCTCTTTTCTTTTTCACTACGTAATAACTCTAAATTAGCATCAAACACGGTGCTTGGGAAGTTTGTTTTTTGGTTTTTTTTCACTAAAAGATAAATTGGTTACAAAATCAAAAAAAACAAATTCAAACAAAATATCACATCAAACCCCATAATTATTTCACTTTTTCTCTCACAAACATCACATCCAACCACAAAAAAAATCTATCTATCTTTCCAAACACAAAAAAAAATTCTCCAATAATATCCTACAACTAAAAAAATCTACAAAAAAAATCCACTTCTCAAACACCCACAAAGACTAGTTGGATCTTTCAGAGATTTTTTAGCTTCAAAGTACTCAATAGTTCTATCGCCTCTTTTCTTTTTCTTCTTGTGTGCAGGCTAATTTTGCTAGAGCTGTTGCATCCCTCAGCAAAGCACAAGCCAAGAAGGTGGCACGGTTTCTTCCAAATCCTGAAAGGCATTGGGGCCCGAAGCTCAGGGCTGGCCGTACAATCACCAGCAAGCACGTATCTCTTTTGGGTCCACAGGCTTTAAATGAAATTAATAACCACGAGGAAGAAGCAGAAGGTGAAGGTGGTGATGATGAGCCCCAAGCCAAGCGTAAGAAGACAGAGGACCCCACTTCCATTTCATGAAAAAAAGCCTCTTTGAAAATGTTCTTCATGCATCTTGGCTGAAGCTGGCGCAGAGCTCTCTTTTTTACTCTCTCATATCTGATTTTTATTCTGCATTTGCTTTGCAGAGAGATGAAATCTTCATCGTGTCTCAAACAAGCTCGCCTGTTTAGTAATTATGCAAAAAATCCCGCGGTGAAATTGGGGATTAGAAGTTAGAACCGCATGGTCTTTAACATTGAGTTTTTGAAGTTCAGCATAAGATTTTGTTTTGTTTTGTTTTTCTGTATGCTGTTCTTGATTTCTTTTTCTCTTTTCTTGATGTGTTCTTTGAAGTAGGTAGAGAGATGATAGACATTGCAGTTGACCCTTTCTGTTTTTTTGTATATGTAGCTTGCTTGTTTTATTTCTATTAATGAATTATTAGCTTCATTCAGAGAAAAGGCCATAATGGGAAATATTTAACTTGAAACACTGTAATACGGGAAATTCTATTTTCACACATTACTTTCTTTCTTTTCACATCTTTTTTCAATACACACATTAAATAAATTGAAATTATTAACTTTTACTCAATACACATCCTACCATACTAAAAATATCCTTATCATCTTTATCCTCCAAACTCTAACCTTAATAAGCCACCACCGCTTTTATTTTTTCAAGGTAATTAGTATTGAGTTTTATCATTTACGTATGACATAGATATTTTTTTTTGTTACATCTATGTAAATTGACAATGCCTCTTACAATTGAAAGAAATTGAAATCTACGTAACCATTCAAGATTCCATTTCAAGGAAATAAATTCTGAAAAATTGCTTGGATCAAGGCAGTGTGTATTTTAGTCAACTCACCACCATCACCAAGGGAGAAACAAACATAATGGTGAGAGCACCCATGATGAGCAACGAATTCGTAATGGGATTTAGCATTGGCACCCTACCGCAGCAAATATTTGCAGTTTCTGATACATGCAGTAGTCTAATATGGATGCAATGTTCGCTTTGTGATATGTGCTGCAATCAGAATCGATTCGCAACAATTTATAACCGAGAAAAATCATCAATGGTGATGGTGAAAATTGATGGTTTAAGAGAGCTAGAGTTAGGGTTTTGAGAAAGGGATATTTTGATAATTTAATTTTAGGACATAAATGTAATAAAAAAAAAAATCATTAAGTGTGTGGAAAGAGATGAAGTAGTGTGTGGAAATAGAATTTCCCCCGTAATACCGCTAAAGTTATATGGCAGGCATTTCTCGTGTTGTTGTTGTTGTTTTTTTTTTTTTGGATAAATTATAAATATATCCCTTGAGATTTGATTAAAATACGAATTATCTCTGTGGTTTTAAAAATTACATTCCACTCCTAAGGTTTTTGATTTCATAACAAATCGTTCCTTTTATTAATAAATTATCAAGTCAATTAACTGTTTTTAATAATGTTAAAAATATGTTTCAATTAATAATTTAGGTAATTTTATTATTGTATAGGAAAGTAATTGTGAATTTTATTTTTTTTAGTTAATTTTGTTAAATAAAAAATTCTAATAAAAGGGTATTTGTAATTTTTTAAACTACAGGGAATAATCTTTATTTTAAACAAATTACAGGGAGTGTATTTATAATTTATCCTTTTTTTTTGTGTGGCAAAAAATAACGATTAATATGTTAATATTTAAATTACAACGTACATTAATATTTCTTTATAAATTCGAACTTAAAATTTCACTCACCTTAATACCAAAGTAGTTAAGCACGCCCTTTCTATAATCACTTTGGTTTGGCAATAGCTTCTTTCTTTTTCTTTTTTTTTTTTTGGTACATCGGAAAAGGAAAACAGACAAAGGAAACTAAAGAAAAAAAAAATAAACAGAGAAGCACAAACAGTTGGGGTACACAAATCAGAGCCTAAGGTATCCTCGTCTAACCATGTCTGCTATCACTAACCCTCTAATTTCTATAAGGGTTTCATCCATGACTACAAGAGGCTCTGCTTGAGTAGCTCCTAACTTCACAAGGTCATCCGCACTGTTATTTCCTTCGCGCAAAGCATGCTAAATGGTATAGCCACACCTTTGCATAAGAAATTTAGAGTCCTCCACCAAGCTTTTAACCGAAGAAGAGACCATAGATCCTTCTTTCAAAAGCTCAATTGCAGATGATAAATCCATTTTAATAGTGAGATCTTTATACCCCTTATCGAAGGCAATAGTTAAGCCTCAGTAGATAGCCCAAAGCTCCGCCTCTAAACTTGTACAAACATCAAGCTTCCCATAATAACCAATGACCCATATGCCTTTCTCATCATGAATAAGACCACCAAAGCCTCCTTCCCTAAGGTCTCCTTTTGTGCTACCATCAATGTTCAACTTTAGTCTATCTACACAAGGAGGGCACCAATTAATAACCACATCACAAATACTAGGATGCAAAACAAAAGGTTTAAAAGCTTCCTTGATATCATAAACATATTTACTTGAAAGCATAATACTTTGATACTAATGGTGTTCAACATTTTCAAAAACTTTTTTGTTACGGTCTTTCCAAATTTGCCAAAGAGTAACAGCAAAAAAAGTAGGATCCAAATTAGAAGAAAGTTTGTTTTTAAGATTTGATTCCAACCAATTTATCAAAGGAATATGCCGACCCCTAGACAACCATTCCAAACAACCCATATTGCTCTAGATATAGACTGCTTTAGGGCAATCTCTAAAAATATGATCAATATCTTCCCATTGACAATCACAACTGCTACACTCAACAAAGTCAGTAAGACCTCTCTTGCTTCTTAAGCTATTCGAGAGTAACTTGCCATGCAAGGTAAGCCATACAAAGCCCTTAATTTTTTGGGAGAGTTTCAACTTCCACAACCAAAGCCAGTTACAATTTTCGATCTCCTGAGTGGCAACAATCTCATAAGCTGAAGCTGTGGAAAAATCACCAGAACTAGAACCATGCCAATGAGGTGTATCTAGATAAGTAACAAATCTAGGTAAATAAACTTTAAGAGCAAGATCAACAGCCTCCCTAGGAAGCTTAGAGTTCAATTTAATGAGATCCCAACCACCTTCCTCATCTAAAAGTAGGTTAACAGTATCAGAATTAATGAGAGGTGATTGGGGAAAAAGTGATGCTAAAATACTCTCTCCATACTCTCCACGCCACCAATCAAACCAAATGGATATGCAAGAACCATCCCCAACACACCACTTGCTACCTTTAACAAGAGCCTCTCTAGTATTAAGGATGCCTTTCCAAGTGTGAGAAGCTCTTCTTTTGCTAGAATAGTTAAGAAGAGATCCCTCTTGTAGGTATTTGGCCTTGAGCACTTTAGTCCACAGACAGGTTTCACCATTAAGTAACTTCCAGCCCAACTTAGAAAGTAAAGCAATGTTGTAATGCTTAGCCTTTCTAATGCCTAGGCCTCTCATTTTCTTTCTTTTGCACACAGTATTCCACTTTATCAAGTGAACTTTTTTAGAATTTCCTACCTCTCCCCAAATAAAGTTGCGATTGATTCTGTCCAAGTCATTGCACACATTAACAGGTAAACTCATGGTTTGCATGGTGTAAGCAGGTAGAGCAGCAGTCAGTGACTTAATAAGTGTGGCTCTACCTGCCAAGGACAGCATATTAGCTTTCCAACTTAAGAGCTTCCCTTGAAGCTTATCAAAAATAGAAGAAAAATGAGCTCTGGTTATTTTCTTATAGAGCAGAGGTATCCCACGATACTTCCCCAAATCTTGGTTGATAGGGATGCCACAAAAAACACTGGTCTGGGCTATAGAATTGCTCACATTTGGAGATACAAATAATTTGGACTTAGCCAAGTTCACTTTTAACCCCGAGTGAGTACTAAAGTATTGAAAAATCTCCATAATGGTATCACAATTTTTAGTATCTGCACTAGTAAATAATAAAAGATCATCAGCGAAAAACAAGTGAGAAATTTCAGGGCCTCTAACAGAAGCCTTGACTCCCTTTCACTCGCCACAATTGACTCTATCAAGAATCAAGTTTGAAAGCTTCTCCATACATAAGACAAAGAGATATGGGGAAAATGGGGTCTCTTTGACGGAGTCCCTTTCTCGGATGAAAATCACAGACCTGTTCTTCATTCCAAAGAATAGTGGAATTCACAGAAGTAACACAATTCATAATCAACTCCACCTAATTCATATTCAGATTTAGCTCCATTAAGGTGTCCCGAAGGAAAGTCCATGACACATTGGCATAGGCTTTCTCCAAGTCAATTTTGAAAATCATCTCACCTTTCTTTCCTTTCTTGGATCTAAGGGTATGAATAATTTCTTGGGCAATGATGATATTGTCATTAGTGAACCTGCCAATGACAAAACTACTTTGGTTTGGGGTAACAATTTTATCAAGGAGGGGTCTGAGCCTATTCACAAGAACTTTGGTGAGGGTTTTATAAAGCACATTATACAAAGTAATAGGTCTAAATTGTTTAGTGGTTTCAAGATTATCAACTTTTGGAATAAGGGTAATCAGGGTTTTGTTTATTTCTGGAGGTAAACCATGGGAACTAAAACAGGATTTGATAAAGCTGCACACATAATTTCCAACAATATTCCAATAGGAGTGATAAAAAAATAGCTTGAATACCATCACACCCAGGGGCTTTGAACCCTTTAATAGATTTCATAGCTTTCCAAATCTCCTCACTAGAAAGAGGTCTACAAAGATCAATATTCTCGTCATTCGAGAAATTAGAGCTAGTACCATAGCTCTGTACTTCCCCTTCCGCAAAGGATGAAGAAGTGAACATCCCCTCAAAATGATCACTCACAAGCTTTTTAACGTCAACAGGATTCAAAACCCAACAACCACCCTCATCTTTAAGGGTAATTACCCTTGAGTTTTTTCTTTTAGCCAAAGTGGAAACATGGAAGAACCTGGTATTCCTTTCTCCCATAGTTATCCAATTGGCTCTGGACTTTTGGAACCCAAGAAGCTCTTCTTAATACAAAATTATATTCTTTCACAAGTACTTTTTCGAGAATAAAAAGATTACGAGAAAACTTGCCAGACTGAGCCTTTTGAATACCTTAAATTTTATCTAGAAGCCATCTCTTATTTCGGAAAACATTTCCAAAAACAGATTTATTCCAAGAAGAGGCTTTTGAAGAGATACAGAGGATAGCTTCAAGAATAGAATTATTAGTTTCTAGCTAGGATTCTCGGACTGACGATTTAAATCTATTGTCCAGAAACCAGGTGGCCTCCATACGAAAAGATCTAAGAGAGGAGTTAGGGAGATGTGTGCCTTCAGTGTAAAAAATCATTGGACAGTGATTGGAATATGTTCTAGAAAGGTTTCTAATAGCCCCTTCTTGAAAAATAACTCTCCATTCAGTATTGCAAGTAGCACGATCTAACCTTTCAAGAGTAGTAGCCATACCCTGACGCCCATTTGACCAGGTAAGGTTAGGTCCTGAACAGCCCAAGTCCATAAGCTTACAACGATTCAATCTGGCAGCAAACTTCTTGGTCCTGGCATAACTATGAGAAGGCACAAAGCTTATTTTTTTCATTTTGACTAGCAAAGTCATTAAAATCACCTACAGTCAACTAGGGTTCAGACATGTTACCTACCATAGATCTAAATTATCCCACAAAATGTCACGGTTTCGGGGTTGGGGCTGGCGTAAACCGCCGAAAGAATCCAATCAGGGAAATAGTGTCGCTTGATTTTGGCATGAATAACTTGAGGCTTAGCTTCCAAGGCCATAATAGTCACTTTAAAGAGGTCCCAAATGAGCCATATACCTCCACACTTACCCACCGGGTCAACGTAATTAGAGGGAGTAAATCCCAGATTATAGAAGAAGAGGCCCATAGAACTAAGTTGAACCTTTGTCTCCATAAAAACAATGATGGATGGATTGTGGCATTTCCATAGCTCGCTCATGTTATGCTTAAAAACACTGTTACCGACTCCTCGACGATTCCACACTAACATCTTCATGGATGATGAGTTAGGGTACTGTGGCAACGGACTAAAATCAGGAGTCCCTAGAATTTTCCGACCTCGAAGTCGATCGTTCACTATGGCTCTTGTTGAGCCTATCAGAATGCTGTGATTTGAATTCCCGTAGCTCATCGTGTTAAGATCGATCTTTACCCAAGCTTCTTCTATCCACCACTCTATTGCGATTGGGTGAGTAGCTTCGCTCTCTGGGTTTATCACGATGTACATTTGATTGCAGCTCACCCGGTGCTGGATCACATCTTGGACTTCCATGATCACTCAACACTGGATTATCAAGGAGAGTGGTAGAGATACTTAAGAAACCTGGAGAAGGGGGGAAATGTGACCTAGTTCCGGAGGGTGAGAGTGAGGTTTAATAGGAGCACTACCAGATGTAGACTTCAAAACCTTAGATGATTTCTCTTCCTCAACCTCTCCACTGCAGACGTTATAAGGAGACACAGCTAACATCTTCACTGATGTGGTCAAGAGTTTGAAGACCGCAAAAGGGTTAGGGCTAGTATTCACAGTACCACCACTAGCATTAATGATGCTACTTTTTAGACCATCACATGGGTTGCTTTGCTCAGTGTGCCCTTCTGATACATTGGTGTGATAAAGATTAGCACAACCCTTCTAGCAACGTACCTTCCCAACCTGGCCTAATTAAAAGGCTTATTCCCATTAACTTTAGACATTGCTGTCACTTTGGGCTTTTGACTTCCTTTCCTGTGGGTTCCATTATAAGGTCCATTAGTTTGGCCTTTGTTGACTTCTTTTTACCTTTCCTGTCCACAAGCATCCAAGTCCTAAAACTCTCCCTTAGTGTGTGACGCCCCAAAAATTTGGGGACATCATAATAAGGTTTAAAACTTAAGATCAATTTTCTTAATTAAGAATTCTCATCAATGTTGCCACCAAATTTACCATCATCCATTAATTACAACACCAAAACTAAAAGTTCTTAAATGACAACTCCAGTCAAACTTAAAACTTTGCCTTAGTACACAAAAAAAAAAAACTAGAGAAAAACTAGAAAGCTCAGAAAAATGGTTCATGGAACTTTGGGACGTTTCAAGCTAATCAGGGCTAAATGTTGCCTTCCAACACCTCGGTGTTTCCTTCAGTTTCTTCGGTACCTGGCATGAAACACTAGGGCAACGAGGATGCCAATGAGCGACGAGCTCAATAAGATACCACAACCTGAAGTACCCACCCCGATAATAGTACCCACAATGAATAATGCGTAGTAATAGAATAACATGTAGCATTTAATAAGTATAATAGGAATGCCATCAGTTGAAATAATAACAATAGATAATAAATAAATAAAAATGACAAACAGAGGCAGTATTTCATCATAAGAAAAATGCTCACTTTTCTTTTTAAATTCTCATAGATTTAATTTATCAGATAAGTTTAAGTAACTCCCCGCAGAGCACTATTTCCACTCAACCGCTAAGAACTGGCCACGGGCAATTCTGACTCCCCCTTGGTCAAATATTCAAATGTTACTTACAGTAACTACCAATGATGCCCACGTACCAGGGTTACATACCCGAGTCGTAACATCACGATCTGCCCCAAGGGAACGGTCTATGTTGTGACACCCGCACCACCAACCTTATATCACCTACACCGATAAGAGCCGAAATACCTGCCCGTGCCATGTTAGGATTCGCAACTCACTTGCGCAAGATTTCAGACCGGGTTCACCCCATCACTTTTACATTTTAATGTATCATTGGCTAAATTTCGTGTCTCTTTACTCGTTGAGATATTCACAATAATTCAAGATTTAATTACCAATAATGTTATACCAACTCATTAAAATCCGAACATAAACTATTACACATGTCACACAATAATAAACAATTGTACAAAATTTAAATAAACAATTTATTTAAACCATGGTATGAAATAATAATTTAGATATATAAAAAAAAAGGGAAATAAATCATAATTACACACATGCATGAACTTTTAATCTATAAGATTAGACTAGCACAATATTAAATAAACCACAATACACCCATACATGGATTACTAATTTACAATATTTGATGAATTAGACCAACACAATAACTGATTTTTATCCAAATAAATAATTGAAGTGATGATCTTAAATCTGTCCAGAAATTTTCAGGTTATACCTTAGGTAATAAAAATTATAAATAAATTATTTATACAGTTCTAAAATTTATATAAATCTACAGAATACTCAATAAACATGTTATGGTCATTTTTCAGAAATCATTTTCCAAAAATAAATTATAAATAATTCTTAAAAATTCCAAGAGTGTTTATGACACAGATTTATCACATTTCCTTAAATTAATTCCATACTTAAATTTTATAAATCAATTCCATGATCTAAAAATTTATTATGAAACTAGACTTCTCAAATTTCATTTTTTATTAGAAATTATCAGATTTGGTTTAATATAAAATTTTTAATGATTTTTCAAACACATAATAAAATCTGTCTATAGCTCCAGATTTGGTTAAAAATCTGTATAAATTCGTACAAAACTCAATAATTGTTGAAAAGTTTTGTGGATGAACTAGACATCATTATCAACAACTTTGTAGAAGAAATAATCTTCAAATTTTGAGTATAAAATTGTCTAAAAATTCGTATAATTTTCTGGCAGATTTAAAGGGCCAAATAACATCTTCAATAATCTTTTAATGGCATAACTACACTTACAAGTCCAAATTCCACAATATTATCATGATTTTCAGATTACCAATATTTAATATACCATCATAAAATTTTTATACAATTATAAATAAAATTCTATCTACAAGTTTAGACAATTTATCATATGTATATAATTTGAAAATTTCAAATAAAAAAAATGAGAGGGTTGAGAGGGTTTTCTTACTATGTTAGGTTGCTAACGATTTATCGTCCGAGTTTGATTTATGATTCTGATCGTAAGATATGACCGTCCTGGCTCCACGATCGTCTTGCTGAAATTTCACATTAATCGGACACGATCTCACCGTTGATCTTCCATTGGATTTTCTTAGAACTTTTAGTTGTTGATCATCATCTTAGACTTAAAATTTGCAAGATCTAACCCCAAAAATGGATTCTACACGTCGAAAAACCTAAGGGTGGTCATTCCCAAAGTCATAGGACCACTTGATTAACCTAAAGGTACTAGGATGCACCGTAGCACCATGGGCTGAGAAACGCTGGATAAAATTCAATTCATCTTCTCCCACAGCCGTAGCATGCACGACCAGAAAGACCAAAAATTAGATTTTTCCTCCCGTCTCCGACTTTTCTTCGAACCATCTTTCGGACTCCATAACTTTCTTAATTCTTAACAGTTTTACTTCATTCTTTCGCCAATCTCTTCAACTTACATCGTACTTCATCTTACATGGCCTATTTTTCTCACTTCTTCCCAGAATGGATGGTTTTGGCATGCTGAAAGTAAGCCGAAAATCAACTTTTAAAATTCAAAATAAACTTCTCTAACTTTGTTTCTTTCTCCTCCATCTTCCTTCTTCTTCTCTTTCTTCACCTACAACACTTTGTGAATGGTGGTTCTAGATGATAATGGAATAAGTGATGGTGGTGGCAGCAGTTCGACGGTGCGCCAATGATGGTGAAGTTCACGGGTTGGTTGTTCGGATGGTGATAGTATGGGTTGAGGCCATGGCTATGGAGGTCGGGGGGAGGAGGAAAAACATAGATAAAGAAGGAGAAAGAGAGTTTTGAGAATGAGAGGTAGAGGGAGAGGGAATCGAGAGAGATGAAACTGGAAGTGAAGAGAGGTGAGGAAGACTTGGGCTCAATTTATGGGAAAAATGAGGAAGATGAAAAGAAATAAAAAAAAAGGAGAAATTGAACACCTGGTGGTATGGAATAGCATGTTCACCACGTTTTCTTTTGTTACAAAGAATGATAGCACGTGGAAGGTATGAGGTGAGAAAACATGGGGAGCAAGCCCATGTTTTTTTTTTTTTGGATTGGGTTTTAGTATATAAGGTTTCAGTGTAATTTGATTACAAAAAAAATATAGAGAAAAATATAATAAAAAATATCATAAGGTTCAGAAATTAATATTGAGTAATAATATAAAGTCAAAAAAAATATTTTATTTTATTTTGAATAAATGTTCAGTATAAAAATATACAGACTATTAAATTCAAAATATTGTGAATAATTATTTAAGAAAATTAAAAATATATATATATATTATTTATTTTTTTATATATATAAAAATACGGGGTTTCACATAGTGTTTTGTTGGGATCAGTGTTATGAACTAAAAGACTTGGGCTTAGGCCCTCTCTGCATTTTTCGTCCTCCGCAACGGACATAATCTTACTGTTCTGTTCACCAGAAGAGGGTCTTGGAATTGGAGGTGGAGCTCTCTCACTACACCATTCTCTTCGGTGACCTACCCTGCCACAGTTGAAACAAAATGAATGTAAATGCTCATATTCAATACTATAATTATACTACTGAGAGATTAGGGTTTCTTGAGATCCATCTCAATGAAGACTCTCGCATATTTTCCTCGCGTTGTTGTCAACGTATTAAGGTCAATCTTCAAGGGTTTACCCAAGGATTTTGCTATATGGAAGAGCACCTTCTCACTGTAATACTCTATTGGGAGCTGGGGGAACCTCACCCAAAGCGCAGTTGGAATTTCTTTCATCGCCGCTGGTTTGAAATCCGGTTTCCATTTTTTGACTGTTAGGTAATGATCTAGGACAATCCATGGACCCCCAGTGTATATATAAAAATAATCTTCCTTCAATTGGAACTTAATAAAAAAGAATCCCGAATCTAGATCTATGGCCTTGAAATCACCTTGAAGATCCCAAAGCTTTGATTTCAAATAGTAGTTGTGGAAACATATTTTTTGGATAGCAACACGTGGCCAAGGTGGCACCGAAGTGCCAGTCGAGGTGCCACGTGCCCTTGACTTGATGCCGAGGTAATCTTGGCTAGGCCAAGGTTATCTGTGGAGATACCGGAATCCGAGATGAGCGGATAAGTTACAAGAGTCCTAGAATGAGGGAGGACTTCAGCCTGGATAAGGATAAAGCTCTTAGGAAGTTTATTTTTATCTATTTGAGGGTCCTGGATAGGCATTGAGCCAAAGTCCATTGAAGCTAGGCTTCTATTAGGATTATGTTAGTGTTGGCTATAAAAAAGAGGCACCATCGTGGGTCTAAGGTACGCTTTTTGTATTCTAAATAGTGAGTTAAGCACTTTTGCTATCTTTGAGAGATAACTGACTTGATCGTCGGAGTGCTCCCAGGTGGATGAACCACCGCTGGAATCTTATCTTTCTATGACAGGTTGTTCGGGCTTAATCTATTCTGTCGGAGCTCTCCAGCTGAGTACCTGTTTGGCAGTATGGTCAGAAATTGACACACACAATTTGGCGCCGTCTGTGGGAAAGAAAGAAGAATAGATGGCCAATGACGGACAGAAAGAAAAGATTGAGGACGACATCCCTACTAGGAGTAGTAAGCACTTTGATCCCAACGTAGAGGAGGATAATTGTAATGAAGAAACTCGGGATCAGAATCCCGGAGAGAAAGGCGTCATCCAGGAAGACGACGTACCAAAGAAGGCAGACCGAGGCGGGTATTATAACGAGAA